GGTTAATTTCGCCCGTAGGAAAAAAAAACATAATTCTGTTACGCAGGAGCTGTGCGCGACACCAATTTGAAAACAATCGAACCAAAATTGTAGACGGAGATAGGAAAACACTGAAAAATCACCACGCTAGTATTACGCGCATAGATGTCGCCGACCCCACATAATATAGCCGTCTCTAAAGTTGTAGGTAGGTACGTGTGCACTTCTCGTCTTTTTACATGCGTTCTTCTACGGGCCCGCATTTGCTACCAGCCAGCCAGCCGGCCAAAGTGAGGTTAAAAGCTACTTTTTTCCACATAAATTTGCAAAAATGCGCTAAAAATAATAACAGTTTTCATTAATTGAACAAATTTTGGTATCAGGGCAACCCCCTATAAACGAAAACCTTTGATAAGGTGCCTTTCTCTTGACATCCAGTGATTTGTAGGCAGTTAAACTTTTCTGACAGGGCTCAGAATTTATCCCTTTGGATTTGTTACATTAAACTTTGCGAGTGAGAACACGTTAGGTAACAGTTCCAAAAGCACAAAGTTTCCGTGGTAGCAATCGCGAATGTATTGGAAGATAACAGAAACAGTTTTGAAGTAAAGGCTGGTGATTGAATAAAACTAGCGGTTTTTTTTTCTGGAAAGACGAATCGCACGGAAGCTGCCACTAATCCGGAAGATTGCTTGTTACAAATACGGTTAATAATGTTTCAGCTGACGGGCAAATAAAAAACCTAAGGGGTGTGCGGAAAATTTATAGTTCTGTCTCGGAGAAAACCGTTGATCGAATGCTAAACTTAGAGTTCGTAACCGAGCCGAGGGAAAGTTGGCGTAATTTTCTGTTTTCATAATTTAATAGCCGTCGTCGGCTATAATTAATCTAATAATGTATAAATCACGCTTACCTTCTCCGTCGATTTTAAAATTGTCTGTGTGCGAGGCAGTAGGTAACTGTTAGTAGTAATAAAGGGAATTATGAATAAATATTTGCACAATTTGCTTAATCTTTTTATCCCCCATCACCTACTTTATTTGCATACTTTAATAGCTTAAATTAAATTAAGATGTTCTACTTTAGGCTACCTCTACAGACTGGGGATTTTGCTAATTGCTTTCACTCTTTACATAATCAACAATTTATTACCCACGTATAAGTAAAGAGACGGATGACGGGTTCCAAGTACAGTTCTGGACATTTAAATGTTTGAAAATTTATTGACACAGTTTTACAGAATTCCTTTTGTTCTCGGCAATGAAATCCAAAAAGGATCCGTTCCTAATATAGAAGTGATGTTGGGGGTGGATGAATGCGAACGTGCAAAGCGCTCGCTCAATATTGCGGGTCTAAAAAAATCCCTCTTTTATTCGGTTTATCTGAATGGAACGCACATAAATTAAGCTAACTTTTTAATTATATAACTGAATTCAAAATGAGAACACTTCCCAAAAATTATTACGTATTACGTAAATAACATTACTCTTTATAAACCTCAACCTAATTTAAAACTTTTGAAATTTATTTCAATACCTACATTACCTACCCCATTTTACGTTCAAACAAGTTTCAGTCTTTTGACGCCAATGTTATTTAGCGAATTTAGTGGAATGAGAAACTGCGAAAATTACTTTATGTAGACCAACACAGGGAATTAATACAGAAACATTCGATTACTGTCTGATGGGATATTTTTCGTATTAACTAATAAAATGAACGCAACCGGATTGGCCCATTCCTGTGAACGATTATGACTAGCCGATTCAGGAATGAGTTCAGTCTTCGCTATACACTTCCACACAGATTTTGGAAAGGAACCATCCAGCGTAATACTAGGAGTCTGTGGGGAAACGAATTTTCGTCAGGAAAACAAGATTCAATGTCCTTTATAGAGAGTCCTTAGGGCTGAACGTTTTCACTGATAACGTCACACCCAGTTCAAACTCCTTTTTCCTGCACCTATCAAAATGCAAAATGCGCCGACTAAGAAACCCTAGAAGAAACCTAATTTTAACCAGCCTTTGCTGTTAGCGATCCGAAAAAAACTTCTAGTTCCATTTTTTTATTTGAAAAGCGGGCCTTCGACTCGAAAATGTTCCTTCTCCTATATTTTACCACTTTTTCGACGAAAGTTTTTCTTCGTCGCAAGTTTTTACCCGATGTTAAACTGATAATCCGCATTGATTTCCCTTACGTTCCGGTTCTGGAGTTACAACCGCAAATCTTCACAAATACATGAAGATATTTCTCGCAACCCCGCAAAAATGTCGTTCGCGAATCAATTTTTGTCACACACTTTGGTCGCTCTTGAAATTAAACTTGAAAATCTACTTGAAATAAACCAAGAATAATGATTAGCGTACCCAAATTAATACGTGCTCGCTCGCCAAAAATCAGCTCTTCCGCTTCTCTCGCCCGTTAGATGTTCTGAAACGGGACCCATTTTCCGAACGCAACAACCTCGACTAGCATACCATTTTAAAAGAATAGTAAACCTGTACTTTTTCCAAGTGCTCGATTTTAAACACAACGGAACGAAACCCTTAGGTTGGGAGAGATCGTTGCAACGGCGCTGCGCTCACCTTCCCCAATACGTTTCTTGTTATCACTTGTTATCTATCGCCAGATATACTTTTTTATGTTCGCTATGAACCGGTATAAGCGTAAATTTTCCGCTTAAAGCATAAAGAAAAATAAAGCATCTGTAAAGGTTTGTATAGGCCTGAAGACTCTAATGGATAAATAGTTTGTTTCAAATCCCGCTACACACTTTTTCATGTCTTTTTCGCAGTAATCATTTGTCTTTCCTCACGCATGCCCCTAACCGCTCTCCTTATGTAATTCTTCACAGAGGTGGTGTTTCTTCAATTTTCAATTTTGTGTCCTCGTTTAAATGAAAGTTTGTATCCGAGCGTATCATTTTTTATACAAATTCAAAAAAGTCACTTTATCTTAATTATAGCATCTTCTAAAATCGATGGTTTCCCTAACGGTACGGCGCTTCTTGAAACGATGGCGTTTAAAGCTGGATAACATAGAAACAACAAATTTTGAATATTCCTCGTACGATTACTTTTTGTTGTATGGAAACGATCGGTCAATGAACTTTTTATTTATATCGACTGCATTCAAACTAGCTTTCTGCTTTCCAAATACGGGTTATTATTAAAGCACTTAAAAGGTATAATGCTGAACTCTGAAACTGGTTAATTTTCTTTTCGAATTCGAATTTTTTAAAAATCGAAAAGCTGGTTCAATATTGTGAGTTTGTATGAAACGCACATAAATTAATCTAACTTTTTAATTATATGACTGAATTCAAAATGAGAACACTCCCAAATTCGTATCAAATAACAAAATGGACGCCACCGAAATAAGTGCAGTTTTTAATCGTAGGCTCCTTTTCGCCAGGCTGGGAACCCATTCCTGTGAACTATGATAGCCTAGCAAATCTAGGAATCTTCGCTAAAAACTTGCAGAAAAATGTGCGGCGAAGGTTAAGAGTTATAGAAAAACCGACATCTTAATCAGCGACCTGTCTCAGTTTGGCAGCCGGTCTTGCATTCTCGAATGATTCTTACAATTATTTTGTTTATTTTATTGTAAAGTTTGATTTATGTTTTAAAAAATTAAGTTTATTATTGTAAAATTTATCTCCGGTCGTTTTCGATAAGGGTGCTTATCGCTCCGTAAGCTAATTAATTTCAACATAAGCAAGTGTATTTTTGGGGGTAACAAAACTAAATCATTAGCAAAACCGGGTTTCGGAAGGTATATTCTTATTATGCATTATGCGGACACAAGCCTGTTGAGGGCCCAGAACAAGAGAGGGATAATAAATAAATAAATCAATGGCGTACCGAGAAATATTTGCTCGGAACCGATATGAAGGCAAGGTCGTCTCTGCGCGAAAAAATGCAACTGCACGCAGTATCAAATTAAAGTGGGATAGAATTAGAAGTTCCACGGATGGCCTCTAACGGCAAAGAACTACGGTAACAACAAATCGATTATAGAAATACCCCTACCATCGGGTACACGGTAGACATTGTCGTGGTGGTAGGACTTAGTAAGTCACATTTTTCTTTGGCGAAGCTAAGTATCCCAGACGGGTGATTGTTAGACTCCATGACTTTAACCTATAAAGTGTGAGTGGTGCTACCCGATTCCAGTAAATCATTCACATGCTTCAGGAAGTAGAGAATAGTTCTCGACGATCACTCGTTAAACGTAATATAAGAAACTATATTGACATGATTAGTACATTTTCACGTACATCTCCTCGATTTTACTGTTTGTGCTAATTTCCGCGGTTTCAATTTTAGCGCGGACGATCTGTACTCTACGGTCGTTGCACGTCATACGTCTCCTTTCACTTCCATTATTGCTCAGCTACACCACGCAACAAACGAAATTGGACGGTTTGTCTCAAACCGCAAGGCTTCGATAACTTCCGCAGCGCGCCTCTCAATGAAATTGTGAGATAGAGGCATCTTCGGACAATAGCGTGATATTTTTCTGGAAATTGTGATGACATCAATAACAAAAGTATTGTTGTGGAAATTCTTACGGACGTTTTGTTTGGTTTCGACCGCAATAACGAGTAAACGCAAGTCCGATGATATAGGTTGAAATGGTTGTATCAGAATTATTTATGTAAGGAATTTAATTTTGTATAATTAATTGCTTTGTTTAATTTGTTTATTTTACTGTAAAGTTATTTTGTGTGGAACATCTGGAAATTATTTGCGTAGTTATTGTAAAAGTTTATCTCCGGTCTGCCATAAGAACTGTTATCGCTGCGTACGTTAATTAAATTTCGAGCTAAGGACGCATTATTAGGTAAAGGAAGAAGGCAGAAAGTATATCGAAAGGGAAAAGGTTCTAAATAAGCGAACAAAACACTCACCATTTGTAAATTACACCAGGGGCTCTAGTGTTCATCTGAATCGCCGATTATGGTAACAAACCCAATGGATCGTCGATGAAGGGCAAACATTTTGAAGTGACAAGCTTACCTTTAGATGCTGAAAACTGCCACTTTGTGGTGTTAACGCTACTTGTGGGAGGTGGCTGCCCCCAGAAAGACGAAAAGCGGTAACTCGCCGCCTTGGTTCAGATCCTCTAGGTACCGTTCCATATATTCTTGCTAACTCTTCAAATGCTCTATTTCGTTCAGCCACATCGTGTACTCGTAGCACGGGTGCTTTGTGAACAACTCGCCCATATATTGGACGGCCTCGGTAGCGTCCTCCGATCCGCATTCTGAAAACCGTCATAGATTGAAATAGCAATGTGCACATAATTAGACAGATCGATCAAATGTCTTTTACCAATACTTTTCAACCTACGCGAAATGAATAGTAAATGAAACGGCCTAACAGTCTAAATCGTAAAAGCTTCACTCATTTTTATATCCCACCAATAAAATAGGATGTTTCTCACTAAGTGATGAGAGATGCGTATAAATCAAGATGTCGTGTCACTTTGAATGGTGTTAGATTGAGAATCCCTTTTTGTCAGTTTTGGAGCTTACGAGCAAAAAGCGAAAGAATATGGGAAATGACGAACCACCAGAAAGCACACCACCAAATAATCGTATCAACAGTTTAATAAAATACGATTCTAAATAAGGTTGGGATACAGATCCACATATTCTTTTAAGTTATGCAAATCTAATTATAATGTTCAACGCAAATTAGCCATAGGATGTCAGGCGTTTAAAACCACAGAAAGTAAATGTAATAAAACTATCAAAAAGCATAAAAGGGGCACTAACTCTTACTGTTTATACCAATCCTTCATAGTCTAGAGAATGACACGACATTCCACAGCAAGAAAAGTAATTAACTTTGATGACAGGTTGCGTCAATTGTCTTATATACATTCCGCTGTGCTAGGCTTAGTGTTTAATATGAAAGGAAATGCAAACTTGGATTATACCTTATTCCTTTCTAACGCCGTTAGTGCCGTGTTGTATTTCTTAAATCTGTTCATTGATTTTTATGCTACAGAAATTTATGGATCCATACTGAAAGTCAAGGTGAGTTCAGTTACTCGCAAATTATTGTTTTTATAAAGATTTCAAAACAAGATTACTTTTATTATTGCGACGTATTCGCTTTAACTGAATTTTCAGATAGCAGGCATACACGATGTAAAGAAACTTTTGAATAGAAATATTGGCCATTTATAATTTGCGTGTGACCAAGGCTGAATGAATGAATAAAAGTTTATATAAACATAGGTCCGCAAACACTACCGATCTACCGAATGTCAAAATTTTAAGATTTTTAAGTTTTTTCTTTATTTTCTTTCATTCCAGTGCGTATCCGCGAACTTTACCAGTTGGATCAATTAATACACCGAAGCGAGTTAATTGAACGTATTAGTTTATTACACTGATGTGTAATCAGACAAAATAAAGCCTATTGTGAAAATACGTACGTTTTAGTAGCATAAATAAACGACACAGGACAAACTAATTAAGCGTGCCAGTATATTTTCCTTATCGTAAAGAGTAGCTATTTCACTGCTAGTGAAATAAAAAGAGGACTGACCGGTGTACTTTGCTTTCGTAATACTAAAGTTGTTCTAAACATCTGTTCGAAAAATAAATATATCGTTCGAAAAATCTACATCCATAAAACCATGGATTCGCCTGAGAATTTAATGCAGTATCATTTCCCGACGAGACGTTCTGATTCCAACAAGATCTTGCACGAATCTGATCCGATAATTGACTTCCATGCTGTTCGTCCATCCAAAGATTCAGTTGTTAGCGATTATTAAGAATTTAAAAAAAATGTGCTATTGTTTGCCTTTTGTCCGTCGTTTTGCCTGTCCATTCGTCCGGACCCACTTCTGCGATTTTAAACTACTTTTAGGGGACTGGTCCTAGAATTCTTAATTTTTTTGCAATTCATAGCCCTGAAGGTGTGCCAGACGGCTATCAAATTTGGTCGCTGTCTCAAGATCCCCCCCCCCCACCACCCAGTAGGTTGCCGGGTGGAGGGAGGTCGAAGTTAATTTTATCTTTCATGATAAATGTCTCAATAAAAGGAACTCTTTCTACCAACTGCCGCCCTTATTTCGGATTCCTTATAAAAGGGGGGGGGGGGTCTGGCTTGATCCTGCATGTTACTCTAATGAGAGGTCTCAACGAAAGGATTTAATTTCTAACAACCATCGCCCCCCCCTCCCCGACACCTTATCGTGATCTAATATTAATTCCTTATATCTCAAGAACCGATTGTCGGAGGAGGATACTCAGAAAGGGCGATTGGGACGTCTGGAAGAAATATATCTATTGGTAATGTCAAAACTTGAAGACTGAATATCTCGAAAACGGATTGTTGGGGGAAAGTAAATATCCGCAGAACGGAGTGTCGGAGGAGGTACTCTCAAAAGGCAGAAAGAACGTCTAGACGAGACACATCTACTGACGATGTAAACACTTAATTGTGAATATCTTGAAAATGTGGGAGGAAGGTACCCACAAAGGGAAAGGGTTGTGCACAATTTATTTTTATTTTTTTCGTTTCGATCATGTTCAACATTGTTCAATATCAAATTTTCATTAAAAGGTTTTAACGCTTTTCTAAAGTTTAAATGTGGGTTTGCAAAGTACAGATCAATGGAAATTACCGTTACGCAACCTACATTAAAACGTGGTGTTCAACATTATGGTGAAAAATTCGTTTTCTCCAATTACACGAGTGCAACGGCTTTATTTTATATATACTACTCTTTCCAGTTTTTATTATTATAAAAATGGCTGCAAAATGTAGAGGTAAACACCAAGTCCTGTTAAGGATGTAAAAAAGAAAAATTGATTACAAGAACCGCTTTGAAATCTGAACAATTCGCACTTAATTAATTTTTCTCTTGAAAAAAGTGTTGGTTTTTTAATATACACGCTTTTTGTTAAAAGAACCGATTAATTACTAAGCATTAACACTTTTTGTTCCGTTCTCGGTTTTTTTTCCGTTCGCCTCTGAACGTAAAGTTAACGTTGTAAATAAAGCACATCCTACGGCACTATATTGAATCATGACGTCTGTATTCTTTAGGGGTAAGTGGGGTGTAACTGTACACCTGAATGCGGAGTGAAATTTTATACATCTTTCTATTTTAAATCATTCTCTGCATTCGTTTAAGACACTGGGATTTACAGCCTAATCTACGTGAGCATTTAATTCTTGGTATTATCTGCTAATCTGCCCTAATTGGTATGAGCACTTCAAACAAATGCTATTTGATTGGATCAAGTTAAATCCATAGGCGCGTTTATACACGATTCGAGACACTTTCGGTGTTACAGAAACATCAATAGAAGCTTCGATCAAAGGTTTTGGATACCTTTACGCTAAAATTTGTGGTCACGATATCATACGCCGTATAATTTAGTTTAGGGGGACCGTTTGGTACGATAGGTGCCTATATAGTCAGTGCGAGAAATACCAATGGAGTTTTGACGAGTCACTGTATTGTAGCGATTATCCCAGACCTCGGGGCGCCAGCAGGTGCCATCAAATCAATAGAAGATTAGTTAGTCACCAAGGAATTAAAGCGGATGCGATGTATGGAAATATGATACGCCTCTTTAAGAACGTTTGAGTTTAGTAGCAGTTCCAATACCAAAGTGATTATTAGTGAAGTGCGCGCTCGTATGTGATACATTTTTTGTGTAAGGAAAAAGGTGGTAGGTCCTTAATAATATAGTGCAACCAAATTTTATTGTTTTTTTAAATGGTTTTTCTAAGGGGAAAAAATACAATCAATATATCGTTATATACAGGATGTTCCTAAATAGGATAATAATTTTTCGACTTGCTTTATGACCCAACGTCAAATCAAATGCTTCGTTACCGATCTACAGAGTGTTATAGTTTCTCGTTTGGCGAATACACTGTCAAAATCAATTAAAACAGGATATTATTCAATTAAAACCAGAACGTACTGGACCATTTTAAAAACGTGAACTTTCATTTAGCGCACTACAGGAAATTGATTTTTATTTTTTTCGATCGCAAATACGAAAAAATTACAAGTGACCAAAGTGTTTCTAAACAAATCAGAAGATTACTTTCTTATTTTACGATCTACCTTCGGCGCACCGAAAAAAAGTTCAAGGGTAGAAAACGGAGCGTGGCCCCTAAAAAAAATCACCCTGTAGACTCTTACTACCATTGACCTATATGTTTATATGCGGCCCTTTCCTATTTTATTAAAGCTTTATTGCGGTATTTGGTCTTTCATGTTGTTTATTGCGTTATATTGAAATTTGGAAAACTGACCGTGCGTACGTTTTGAGTCCCTGGCAAATGCAGTTTATTACAACATAATATACAGTAAATAACATCAAAATTGACTGGGGTTGGGGGCGCACAGAATCTTATCCAAAGTTTATTCCTCCCCGATTACATAAGGTATTGTATAAATAAACCTAAATTGAAAATGTTTCTTATTTTATGTGTCGAACGCTTGGTGCGGAGTAATTTGTCCAAACAAGCATTGTAAGCTTCTCTTTCAGGAATTTTGTTTAATTTTCTTTTCATGTGTTTCGAAATAAATTTTTGTCATTGTTAAGCAATTAAGTGTGTGTTTATTCGAATCCTTTGTGCGACCCGGAGAGAGTTTTCGTGTCAATTTTTTTCCTCGTGTCCAATGGTCAGGTGCTAATGAAAATTTGTGTAGTTAATCCTTTGGAATTTTCGAAACTTGATCGAGGCTACTGAGTCTCCCAAATCACTAATTTAGGTCAATATTGGAATGTTTCTTTGTAGCAGATGCCGGAAGTATACGAGAAGAAATGATAAAGGTTTATTTATTTGGCGCCCAACGTTCACCACAAGATTATTATTTGGCGCTAGAAACTTGTGGCAAATTAGGGAAACGCGAAATTCAGGTCAAATTTGCTAATCTAAGTTTAGGTTCCATCAAATTATCGTTGGTACCCAGATATTTATTTAATTAGGATTTCTAACAGAATTAATTACAGGGGAAGGAATTAGGTAAAGATTATAAGATTTTAGGTAACCGAATGTAGTAGTAAAACAGAGATGAATATTAAATAAACGTCATTTGTGTAGCTTAGGAAAGAATAATAATTTTGGAAATCAGAATGAAATTAGGTTCATTGGGACTAGTGGGCCTTTACAAATTGTAGCAATTGATTATTTTAGTGATTTAGTTAAAGGCGGAAAGAGTAAATGCCTTTTAATAAGTGAGAAACTGCGAGTCTAATTAGTATTTGGGCTTTT